TGTTAGAATTCTGCTCATTTAAACGTAATAAATAATCTAAAACGTATGACCCAATTTCGTTAGCACCACTTTTTCCCTGAACCTCATCTCAGAAACAGCTATTAGTATTATCGTATGCCTCTATCTCATTCACACTCTCTTCATTGTTCTTTTTACGCTTTTTTAAATCTTCTAATTTCTTCATTATTCCCACAATGGTAAAATTAAAACAATTAAGTTTTGTTTTATAGAAAAAAGCTGATGTTTCTCCAGTGGGTTCACTGCATAACAGCCATTTTTTTAGATGATTATCATATTTTTCTTGAACATCTATTATTCAAGTAGGATTTGCTAATACAATATCTAAACCATTCATCTATCTTTTTTAGGCTGAAAAAATAGTTAAATATAACTAAAAAATAGTTTAATATAACTCCTTAAATATACTATATATATTTTTTTATGTGAAAGGTTGTCAAGCGAGCAGACGGTTCACCTGATGTTAAGTGAATACCGCCGCCCATGGACATCTGATACACCCGGGGGTTGAAGATGCGTCGACAACCTTTTGAAAATTGGGCTCCAGCCACCTCACTCACCAGACGAAATGCGAAAGTATTAAACTTCCACTTTACGCCATTATGTTTTAGTAAAACGAGTAGTTTCATGTTTCAGGCTTTTCTTTATTCTTTCTGTAATTTATAAAAATCTTTCCATAGATCTATAATTGTCTTCTCACACCAAATATACTCCATACTAGTTGAAGCTCTCAAATAATGAATCCTAGGAATAGAATTTATAATAATATGTTCCTCAATATTTTCAATGAGATTTCGAATCTCTATAGGCTTTCTAGACAGGTGTTTGCCCCTATTATCTTTATTGACGAAATTTGGAGGATCAGATTTCTTTTTTATAGGTCTTATTTGACGGTCACCTATGCTAAGCGTATTAATAAAAAATGTCTTTACGACGAACGAATTCTATTAGCATCATTATTCGGTAATATAGGTTTGGCTGCATTTAGTGTATCTATATTTAGGACAAACTTCCACAATACAAGATCTGATAAAACATCTCTGCAAATCAATATTTCCTATAGCCAATATGCCCAATATGTTTCAAATAATGTCTTTCTATCAATTACCTTTTCGGAACTTTTAAATTTACACTTACATGGCTCTTTAATGCAACAAGCAGGTACTTCTTTTGGAATGGAGACGAATTAGGCGAGTTTTCTATAACTGAAGAACTTGTTGAGAAGTTACTTTGTTTTTCAGGCGTACCCTCAATAATTACATGTTGATTCCTCGAAGTTCTAAGTATGTCGTGGGAATTGTTTTCCACCGATGAGTTACATGGTATAATATTTTATTTGTCTGTGTTTTTTATTGTATTTCGATTTTTAGTATCGATATTTATTTTCACTTAAATGTAATCAGCTCGTCTCTTCATTTTGTTATTAAATTTTCTCTTAATTGAATAATGAGGGCTGTAAATCTGGAATATAAGGTAACGTACGTTAGACTTTTTGAATCATAATTAGAAATACATCAGAATAGCTCAATATTTAGACAGACCCATATCTAAAAAAGTCAGTTATTACTAACAGTATATATTATAAGAGGGACACAATAATTAATTAGTTTCAATCATAATCATTATTTTCATAACTAAAGTGACCGAATTAGAATCTGGTCTCTAATTATTACTGTTTTTTCAATCAAAGAGGGTCTCGATAAAAAAAAGGTCACAACTTACTCAAGAAAGTTTAGTATGATATAGACTCAATTATGAATAAGGTCTATATTTAATTAAAAAGTATGAATAGTACTTACCTTTACATTTAATTTTGTAACGGCCTATTTCGGCTTAGATCACTATAAAACTAAACACTTAACGATATGCTCAAGACACTTGTGGCACCTTCCTGCTTGTGTCTCTTTCGAATTAAACAAACGCGGAAATTGGAGAGGAATGAAAAATAATGAAGTATACGTTACGTAGCCTTCTACGCCAAATTCGGCCCTTGTTTTAATTACAGTCGAAAAAGGTAGTCGTTTTAGGTCGTTTCCTGACATAAAGTCAAAATCACGATTTTCTTAGTTAGGTCCCTTTAATTCTAAAGGTGCGATATTTTTTTGTTATTATTTCGAAAATATGCAGGTTTCCTCACGATGCTTTCCTTCACCGCTGAGCACGTGATAATTCAGCACTTAAAGTTATAAACTTCATTGGTGCCGGCACCGGGGATCGAACTCAGGTTGATCGAGTATATTGAATTAAAGGAGAGTGCCCGGACACTGAGCTATCACGGCTCATTCCATTGAATTCCAAGTTAACATAATAATTTTGTTACTTGGCTGCTAGGTTAGCAGATTGTTTGTTGCTAAACATTATTACAGATTCTGTAGACCTACAACGGCTTAAACTAAAAACTTTTTACTTTTCTTCAGCATTTCTTTATTAGATTCAAAAAACTTATGATTTAACAACTTATAAAAAAAAATTATAGATAGATGGATTTAACAACTTCTATTCTGTTGATATAGGCTACTATATTAGAGGTAATTAGTTAAAAAACTCATTAAATATGGTTGCCAAATATTTTCAGTTTGAATACAAGAAACCTATATTTCCAAGCTTGCTAAATGTTAAATCTCTGCAAGCAAATGGAATATGTTTTCAGGGCACAGTTTAAAATTAACATTGCACTGTATATGTATAAATAAAATAAGTGTAAAAAACGTTATAAAGCTGTATAAGAGACTAATTTTTATTAAATTTTCAAAAAATTATCTCATTAAGTTCCCAAAGACTGAATGGCAAAGATTTTAATAAGATTTAGATTACAAGTCACAATGCAGCCATTACCAATATTTCAATGCAAATAATTCAAGCTGATTGGAGTGTGGGCGTAGAGTGTTTTAAAAGCTCATGTCATGTGGGCAGAACAATATTAAGTGCCATTGCATAACAGCCCTTTTGGAGATATGGAGATGTGGACATAAGTTGCAGGCCAAAATTCATATCATATAAGGATTATATCTAACAAGAATGATTTTTCTCCAGTTGATTTAAAATTGTCAATTAGAGTGGAAAATATTTCTTGTCATTATGAAAAACGTATTTTTGAGGTACTGCTTATAAATGTAATATGTAAAAAGTAAAGTAATTGTTTATTGATTTACCTCCCACTGCTGAGCAAAGGGCACCCCTGTTCATACAGCATTATGTGACATCAAGGGATTATTTTCTTATTGTCATTTCGGTAATATGCAGGTTTCCTCAAAACGTTTCACTTTACTGCTGACTGTGATAAGTCGACACTTAAAATTTGGCATTTGAAATTAACAATTTCATTGGTATTTTAACTCTGGATTTAACAAATCTAAATCCTAAGGGGCAAAATTTGGGTTTTCGAAATATTTCATTGCCTAAATTACTAAAATAGCATTTTATGTATAATGACTGCATGTTGTACTGTATTTGGAAAATAAAAAAATTTACCATTAACATAATTTTATTTTCTACAATGTAATGTTAGAGTTACGTTTGACTTGGAGTAATCTGGCAGAGTTACTTTCTAATCCAATGTCAAATCCTTACTAATATTATAAAGGCGAAAGTTTGTATGTATGGATGGATGTTTGTTACTCTTTCACGAAAATACTGTGAATGGATTTTAATGAAACATTACAATAATATAGCTTATACATCAGAATAAGACATGGGTATAATTTATATACATATTTTATGAATATCTGTCTTTTTGGCTGAATGTTACTCATGCAACCTATTCTACGCAGACAAAGTCGCGGGCAGCAGCTAGTAATAAAAATAATCACCAAATTTTTATTAACCTTAATCCACTGGTATCTCACTGACTATAGTGCTAAATATATTATATCTTACTGTTGTATAGCTAAATGTAGTATACCAGTAGGTATCTTACTGAATATAGACCAAGTTTAAACATGTGTCTAATCATAGCTTATATTATGATGGTAAATAAATAGGTAGATCCAAATAAATAGGTAAAACTAGAAAAAGGTTGTGCAAGAAATGATATACAGCCACTTAAAATTTATATTACATCCTTATAACATTTGAAGGCGATTTAAAAACATATATATAAAAAATGAAACCTGTTTAATGATTACCAACTAGAAAAGTCTAGTCTCTCTCAACTAGTTTGGAGTTACATGTGCAATAAAATGCTATCGCCTCAACTAGATGTGGGTACATTAGAGCAATTAAAATTTTTAATATGGTGCACAAAGCAAAAGGAAAATTTTTAAGTAATATGCAAATGAAATGAGAATAAATCGAATGGTAATTAAATGGCCTGTTATTTATGATCCATGGTAAGGTATTTATTTTCAAAGCAATAATGTAATGTAAGTATTAGAGTATTAAGTTTGAGCTTTTTAATTAGTTCATACATACACTTGACTATAGTGTAATTGCAATCCTTATTTTAAATGTTATAAAAAAATAAGTTTTAATTAACGGGAATTAGAAACAATGCATTGAAATAACATCATCTATATCATGTCAACTATCGTAAACAAAAAAATACACCCATTACATTATTTAAATTACAATAAACACAAATTCTCAAAGCAATCTTAATATCATTACTTAATTCTTAACATATTGACACATAATCTGTCAATGTGGATTACTCCCAAGGAATTTATCATATATATAATATTATCTACCCTTTACAGCAGTAACATTGAAAATCTTTATCAGCATTTAACTGTTATCACATTGGAATGTAACAAAGAATTTCTTGTCATTGATAACCTGAAGTGTGGTATGTGCATTTTTATCTAGATTACATCTAGAATAGCTTCAAATTCTTGAACATATGGGGTCAACGAACTATCTTTTGTTTGTTATTTATCATAGAAAGGGATGAGATATGAGTTTCCTTTTATTAATTTAATATATTGTGGTGGCTATGTTAAAAGTGAAAATTTACTAGTTGAGATAAACTAAAACAAAGTACTCACCGTTGGAGCTCTTCAGATCTCGGTGTATGAGGGATATAGGCGCATCAACGTGTAGATACGCCATTCCTCGAGCTACTTGTATCGCCCAGTCAACTAGGATCCCGGGTCGAATCTTCCGCCCCGACAACACTCTGTTCAACGGCCCGCCGCGCGCATACTCCATCACCAAACACAAATTGGGCTCCTCTAAACAAACACCTTTCAACGACACTATATTATCGTGCTGCAGCATCCAGAACAGTTTCGCCTCTTGCAGCACACTATCCTTTATCACCTCGATGTCCTCGTTGGCGTCCTGGCGCGCCGCCTTCACCGCTACCACCTCGTCGTTCCAGTAGCCGCGGTACACCTTGCCGAAGCCGCCGACGCCGATCACCTCCTCGAGTTTCAGCTCGGTGAAGGACACCCGAGGAGGGTCCACGTCGCCGATGACCGACGTGACGGCCAGGGGGTCCTCCTCCGTCACGTAAACGGCGGGGAAGATGCCGACCCGGTCGCCGATCTTGCCCGTCCACCAGCCCTCATCGCCCGAGATGTTGGCGTCCTTGGACAGCACCTCGACGATCTCCCCGCGGCGCAGTGACAGCTCGTCCTCGCCCTGCGCTATGTAGTCGTACACGGCGGTAAACAGAGCCAGCGGCGGGCGTTGTTCGTCTGCCGCCATAGCCGCGCGGCCGGCCGCTGGCCGCGGCGGCATCACCCCGGCCGCGCCGCCATCGCGCTCCCCCTCGCTCAGGCGCCGCGACACCGCTGCAGCCCCCGCCCACCACCGCACATAACTACTGAACGCGTTCGGTCACGATCACCGTATTATTCCGCCATCTTTGTTTCCCACATCGATCATGGCGGTGTTGTGGCGAAGTGCGAAACGGCAGCGATTCGCTCGGTCGTTCACGTGCGGTCGATTATCGTTTTCGATTTGATTTAGAACGCGTTGGCTTCGCTGTGGTGATGTTAATTATTCTCCATTCATCTATCACGTAAGACGATAGACGGACGAAATGACAACCATACCACAACGAAGTCAGTGACAAACTGTCATAAATTCAATGTTACTTACTACATAACTTTTTACTTTGCTGACGTTCAATATGTTATTAAGTTTACTATAATTTATTTAACATATGTATTTGAAACTAATACTTTTTGAACATGTCATATAAATAAATCTATTTATATTGATATTTTAATGGCTATGTTACTATTAAAATAAAATATAATAACTGGTAACATTTTTAAGTGTTAGAAAATATTTGAGTAGATGGCGCTCATTGACTATTCTATTTCTTACAGAATGTGGATGACTCCCGCCATCTAGTGGCAATATATATTATTTATATTTGTTTACTATGTTTTAAAACTGTTAAATGTACCAATATGTTCAAATTTTTTACGAAAGAATAATTTCAAGAAATATTGTACACAATGTTTTTTTATTTATTTTTCTTAACTATTTATCTTCTTTTATTATTACTTGTCAACTACAGCTGATTGCATGTACACCAGTGTGACGTATAAAATTTTATCGTTGAGAAATATAGATGGCACTGATGAGCTGAGTTAAGAGCTATTGAATGAATATCATAGATAAGACATATAATATACTGATTATGAATGTATATTAAAAATTACTTGCACAAGTTGGTCGGTTCAATAATAGGAAAAGTTTATTGATATTGAATTAGATTAATCAATCAAAATATTATTTGGTTATGTCATTCGAATCAAAAGACTACAAAAAATGCGGTTCCTGAAAAGTAATAATGCAACAACAAGATCAGTGTCGGTAGCTTCATAATTATTCAATAATCTTAATTAGCACTAATTCTTATAAGACTAAAATTATCTTATTTTACTACAAATCATCATTTCATGATAATAGGTATAATGTAAAATTAAAATGTATCATATAGCGATAAAAGATTTAGAAAAAGTTTTGTTTGTTCAAGTGACCGATAAAATTTCACTACTTATTACACTATTTGCAAAAGTCAGTATTCCGTTATTAGTACATAGTGTATTATGATTTATGTTCCATTGCCTGTATAAAATAAATAAAAGCAGTATTATGTTATTGCTGTGTCTGCTTGCTTTTTATAACAGCAATAAAAATATTTTAAAAGGTGGATCATGATTGTTTGAATAAATTGAAAACTAACGTACCTATTATTAAATAGTATATTTATCGAGTTTAAAAATATTATTTAACCTTGAAGGAACGGAATTTATTAGTAAAAGACTAAGGGGATGGCTTAATAAAATTAATGTTTTAAGAAGTAATTAAACATATTTATAATATGATTTGTTATACTTAAAACATTGAAATAATTATGATATATCTCATAATTATGGTCCCTAAGCGATCGGTCCCATGGTGTAATGGTTAGCACTCTGGACTTTGAATCCAGCGATCCGAGTTCAAATCTCGGTGGGACCTGTTGGCCAATTTTTTTTTCTTTTTCCATTTTATATTTCGTTTTTTTTTTTTTCACATAAAGTGGTTCAATATCACGCACTTACTATGTAATTGATATTTTCAAACAGAGAATTGACTTTCTCATAGCGCGCGAGCGTTACTTTGGGAGTCTGTAGGGATGCTGGGTAGGGAGGGAGCTTTATTGATCGCGTTAAAGTGGGATGGCCGCATCCATTCGCGGCGTGCAGCCAGCCAGCGGACGTGGGGTCGCTCCGCGAACCTCGAAAACACACTTTTAAACGTTCGCGACACGTCCCAAACACCACAGATGCTGATCGAAAAATCCAAGCTGCGGCCACTATGAGATAACAGCGGCCAAAACGCATCCGGAACACGGGAAAACGACGGAGGCGAGAACGCGGCGCGGAAATGTGACAGAACATAGTGAAATGAGACTTCCATTGATGCCTTTTTTACGTTTTACACCCGACAGTGTCGATAAGTTACTATTATGTTGGTCTCGATCGATCCGGAATGCGGTTCTGAGTGTTTTCTTCGGCAAAGCTGAGCGCAAAAACGGAGTGTCACAATCGTAATGACCACGCAATGTTCGACGGTGGCAAAATGTTTGAAACGAGCAAAATTATCATGAGATTCTGTCTGAAGTGGTACTGGAGAAAGTGTTGGATCCTAATTAGAAACTGACGCGCGTTTGTTAAAACATAATACGTGCATTTCCGTGCGATACGAGTGGTATTCCTAAAGCGGGCGGCTGAGAGGAAAATTGTATAAAATGAATTCCTTCAACGCGCCCACTACGCAAATAAACGCTATTGATAAAATGACCACTGTGAAGTGTAAATCAGTGGATTTGGAGGGGTACGTGATAATAGTGGTCCAAACCAAAGATAATAAGGTCAAACTATACGGTGAGTCTGTTTTTTTTAATCAATAGGATATCAATGCGAACAATCCAAGTTTTCCCTTGGAGTTTGGTTTTCACATTCCTTATAAATTTTATGACCTCAATAATCTATATATTACGTGAAGCAAAACTTTGTACCCCTTTTTACGAAAATTGCGCGGACGGAGGAGTATGAAATTTCGCACACTTATAGTTTATAATATCTTTTTTAAATATATATATATATATTTTAAATTATGCATAGTAATACATTATATCAATAAAAAAAAACACTACACACACTACCGTGTATTAACTATGGTCGAATTGCGACCACTGGGCTACACACATTACTAGTATTTATTAACGTATACTTGATACAAACATTTTTTCTAGTGAATTGATAATTTAAATCAATAAAAAATTGACAGCTTGTGTTTCTTGACACGAATGAGACTCTTTCTTTGTTTCCTATAGAATATCATAGATTGCGTATATTGGTATGTGTAAATTATATGTTACATTTTCTGAAATTACTACAATTTACGGTTTTTAGCTTCATCAATAGCGTGGTCAAAATCACGCTATGGATACGTGAGATTAAGGGGAAAAAAGGTAATTGTTACGGTTTTATTTCTCAGTCATTAAGTTTTTATGGTAAAGCGCTATCGTTAAGAGATAAGTATACAAAATAAAGCGTTCCGATACAGTAAAAAAGAAAATTTCTTCCATAGACTAACTGTCGGATATACAAGTAGGTTGCATGTAATGATTTATGTAAAATTTATTTGTTATTATTTTTAATATTTTATCAATGTAACTACCAGGAGGGTATTAAATTTAAAATAATGTCATCATAATTACAGTAAATATCGTAATCGGATGACTACTTCTGATATTTTCGTAACGATATCATTATCACTACTCGCACATTAATAATACAAATTATTATCATATTTTGTTACACATTTTGCATTCACAATAATTCAGGTCACAATGCATTCAAGCAATGTTAGTAATTTAACAGTATATTGGTGGTCTATACACTATATGAAACCAGATGAATCAAGAACAAAGAGAGATGGCGTGTTGCGTTTCTTCTCGTTTTAAATCAACGTAGTAATTTAATCGAAGGTATTAGCCTACCACACGGAAACACTGGCTGGCTTACTTTATGAAGATTTTCAAAAAGTCTGCCAGTGTTTCCGAACGGCGAGCAAAGAATAATCCTCAGGTGCTACATTGTTCTGGTTACTTGAAATTTCCCCCAGAGACAAAAAAAATCTTCGTCAAATTTATCCTACGATAAGGCTAGCTTAATATCAAAATTAATTTCAAATTAATTTCCTTTCGAGTACCATCCCTCGAAACCTAAATTGTCCAGGTGGTTTGCCCCTATAATGGCATATTAACTCTATAACCACCTCGTATTGTAATTGTATACCTAATTTACCAAGTATTTTTTACCTTCATCTACACCTACGCAGACGAAAAATTAGCTCCTCTTATATAAGAAACACTTGTACAAAATTTAATGCTTCTACACCCTTCCCTCTATCATGTATATTGTCTGTAAGCCAATTACTTTTATTAAGTAGATAGCCTTCTTGATAAACAAGGTAATAATTCCCGACTCTTACTCAATTTTCCTTTTTTCCCTATTATTCATGGATTAAACGCAGTACAATCCGTAATATAATTAAACTTTTTTAAAATTCATAATGTTATACATGATAGACGTCGTGTACAGTCACGTCTCAAATCCGACAACAGCTTATAAAAGAAAAATGTACTAAAACATATTTTGTAGTGGACCAATTTGTGAATCTAAACCATTATCTAATCCACTTGAACACACACAAAAAGCTCGTCAAATCGTTCTAGCTGTTTGACAGTCTTGACAGTCTTCATTTGTAAGACTGTGCCTGCCAGTGTTATTTCCATTAACCAGAAAAAAGGTTTGATAGTTTTTAAAAGGATTTATCATACAGCCCTCGTACTTCTTTATGAAACTGCGTCTAAGTTAAAGCTGTGTTAGAACTGATTGATTTCAACTACATACCATAACCTACCATAATTGGAACAGGTAATTAACACTGACGCAAAACCTTAACTAAAAACTAAAATCCTTAATGTTTTCTCCAAAACATGTAATGTGACTTTTTATCTGTCTGTTTCTCATGTGCTTCGCGGTGAACGAAATCAACGTGGGGAAACCTGCATATTCTCGGGGCCGGGTGGTGGACTTTGCCCTGATACCCTCTGTATAGAGGAGGCCTTTGCCCAGCCTTGGGACATGTATAGGCTGTTAATTTACTTTTATTATTTTCTGAGTAAAATTTTTGAAAAACTAATTTTAAATCAGCTCTTAGTACATTTTAATATGAACAAAATTTTTCACAATGAGCAATATGGATTCACTAAAGGCAGATCGACAACAGATGCGGGTATCGCACTTGTCAAACATATTTATAACGCCTGGGAAGGGTCGCAAGATGCAATAGGAGTTTTTTGCGACCTTTCAAAAGCTTTCGACTGCGTGGATCACAAAACCCTCCTTCTAAAGCTTGATTATTATGACATTCGTGACATCGCCCTCAATCTCATTGCTTCTTACCTTAATAATAGAATTCAAAAAGTATCTATAAATGATGTAAATTCCGCAGGGTCCCCCATGAAAATGGGTGTCCCACAAGGATCGATCTTGGGCCCATTATTATTCTTAGTATATATAAATGATCTCCCCTTCTATGCCAGTGAGTTATGTGATGTTGTACTGTTTGCTGACGACACATCGCTTATTTTTAAGGTTGACCGAAATGTATCGAATTATGACGACGTGAATAGTGCACTTTCACGTATCCTCCACTGGTTTACCATTAATAATATGGTGTTAAATGCTAAAAAAAACTAAATGCCTTCTTTTTGCCCTTCCCAACGTAAGAAGGCAAAGTTTTAGCTTAAAATTGAATAGCGTAACCCTTAATCCTGTTGAGTCCGCTGTATTCTTGGGAATCACAGTAGATTCAAAGCTCCAATGGAGTCCCCATCTATCATCTCTTGCGAATAGGTTAAGCTCCGCTGTTTTTGCAATTAGGAAGGTTAGGCAGCTATCAGACATCAACACTGCCAGACTTGTTTACTACAGTTATTTTCACAGCATCTTGTCGTACGGCATTTTGTTGTGGGGTAGTGCATCTGATATAAATTCAATATTTATTATTCAAAAAAGAGCTGTCCGAGCAATTTATAACATCGGAGCCCAGAATACACTCAGAGATCTTTTTAAAGAGATTAATATACTCACTGTTGCATCTCAATATATTTATTGTAATATTTTGTATGTTAAACAGAATATTAATAATTATCAAAAGAATAGTGACAGACATAAACTAAATACTAGAAATAAGGACAAACTAACTACGCCATTATTTCGCTTACAAAAAGTAAACAGATCGTTCATGGGGCAAAGTGTGCGCATGTATAATAAAATCCCACAGTCGATGTTAAGTCTGCCACTTGATGAATTTAAACGAAAAATTAGAAGTACACTTATGGCTAAAGCCTATTATACTATTGCCGAATATCTTGACGACGCCAATGTGTGGGGTTAATACTGTTGATACTCACGTAGGCTAAAACAAGACTATTGTACCTGTACTATTATATTGTAAACTGATTTTTTAAAAAAGAGCAACTGTTGAGTTTCTTGCCGGTTTCTTCTCAACAGAAACTGCTTTCCGAACCGGTGGTAACTTACGAACGTGTTAATTTCTTGTAAAATTTTGACGTTTCATAAGAACGCGCAAGCGTCTATGTGAATAAAGATATTTTATTATTATTGTGGGGTGATATTCATTTGTTTTCTCGTCTGGTTGGGTTTATAAATAAATATAAATAAAAATAAAAATATAGATACATATTGCATATATGTATAAAATAAATATTATGAATAAAAATAAACATATACATCTAATGTTGTATATAATACATATATAAATAGGACCCAACCAGACGGAAGCCCTCGGCAGGGGAGACCAAACGGCCGAGGGTTAGGGCGATAGGGAGAGAAACCGGCGGACGATGCGGGCGGTATCGAGGAGCACCGCCTTCTGCATTTGAGCTTGGAGCGATCCGTCCCGGAGTCCCAGTCGCCTCAGATGTTTGGAGAGGCTGACTGGGATTAACCCATTCGCAGACACGACTATCGGGATAATTTCGGTCGGCACACCCCCCCACATGTCGGTCACCTCGTGAGCCAGGTCCAGATACTTTGTCTTCTTATCTGTTTCGGCTTTCACGAGGTTCTCGTCATATGGAATGGTAATGTCGACCAAAAATACCCGCGACTGTGCCCGGTCCATCACCACGATGTCAGGTTTGTTCGCGACAATCGTCCTGTCCGTGATGATGGGCCGGTCCCAATAGAGCCTGGCGCGGTCATTTTCGAGCACGGCCTCCGGAGAGTACTTACAGTACGGCAGTTTCCGATCCACGAGGCCGTATTTCAGAGCGAGCTCCTGGTGTAGGATTCTGGCTACTAGGGTATATGGCATAGGTGTCTATGCAGATACTCAGAGTTAGAAAGCATGGAACAACCGGAAATAACATGCCGAAGCGACTCCCCGGGACGGCGACAAGCTCGACAGATGTCGACGGTGCCATCCCTTAGGATGTATTTCCGATAGTTGTTCGTCTTAATAACCTGATCCTGTATCGCACAGACAAAACCTTCGGTTTCCCCAAAGAGGTCCCTGAAACGTAGCCAGTTGAGGGAGGCAGTAGTATCTACGAAAGGCTCGTGTAGGGCCTTGTAGAACCTCCCGTGGAGCTCTTTCTCCTTCCACACGGCCTCCCGGTCGGAAAACGCTCAGTACCCCCGGGTCCTGCCATTGCTCGTTGGCTAAGGATAGAGGGGTAAGTCCTTTATCACAACTAATGACGTCTGTGTAGATTGAATCATCCGATCTCGCCAGGAAGTAGTTACGGAGGCTGCACACCTCGCGATTGTGCATGGTAAGGGCG